TTTTTTTTTTTTTAGTTTATGTATTTATTTTGAGAGAGAGAGAATGAGCAGGGGAGGGGCAGAGAGAGAGGGGGACAGAGGATCTGAAGCGGGGTCTGTGCTGACAGCAGAGAGCCCAATGCAGGGCTCCAACTTGCGAACTGTGAAATCATGACCTGAGCCAAAGTCAGACGCTTAAGCCACGGAACCACCCAGACACCCCTGAACTCTAACCTTAATAGAAATATTAAACCATATTATATAAAACTTACTAGATAACGGATAACAGCGTTATTCTTGCTGCCTATAATCTTTTGACTGGTTTGTGATTAATTTCCTGATTTTTTTGGTATTGCTATTAAAAATGTTTAAGTGTTTAAATCTTCTTGACCTAAATATCTGTGATATAGGGAAAATGTTCATAGTTATTTATAATTTGGGTCCAAATTTCAAGAGTATGCTGTTCTTCCTTCTTTTAAATATGAGAATGCCTTGCTCGCTTTTTAGGACAATGAATTTCTCCATTTGGAGCTAGTGCAGATCAGGAGCGTGGCGTTGCTTTGCTTTTACATCTGCCTTCAAAGTGTAAGGCAAGATCCAGTTCATCTCTGCTTGTCTTCTACCCTGGCATCACTTTGGAGCAGTGGAAAGAATGAAAGGTGCAGGGTAGACTTGTAGGATTGGTGTGGCTTTGGATACTGGCTGTGTCACCCAAGATCTTGCCAGAAATCACTTAAAGGTTTAGAGCTTTAGTTTCCTCAGCTGTAAAATAAGAAAAGAATAGCCACCTTGCAAGGTTCTTTGGGTGGTGGGGGACTGAGAGAATATGCGTGAAATGCCCGGCAGGAGGGAATCCTTTAAATTAATAACATTTCATGTTTGTGAAGTCTGGGATATTAGTGTTGTCTCTGATATTCCTTTGATTGCAAGCTGCTTGCATTTTTCTTCTAGGGTTGACAACTTTGGCTTGGGCCTTTTACTCCGATCCAAGCAGATAAAACGCATGGTGTCTTCGTATGTTGGAGAAAATGCAGAATTTGAACGACAGTACTTGAGTGGTGAATTGGAAGTAGAGCTGACACCTCAGGTAAGAAAATTTCTCTGCTTCTCTTACACAGCAGTAACTTATTTTAAAATTTACCTTTTCCCCTTTGGGAATTTTCCTTTGCAAGAGAGGTAAGGCAGAGAGGATTCAGTTTTGCCAGACCAAGGAAATTTGTTTGTAGGTCACACCTGTTGATGTCTAGACTATTATTTTCTGTTGCTGTGCATGGGAAAAAAAAAAAAAAGAGGTATTT